AGAAACAGTGAGATGTTGTTCAACAGCTGCTAGACAGCTGGCTAGTATGATTTGCCCCTTTTCCTTGCTGTAGTATATCAGATGTTAGGGGTGGAATTAAATGTTAAAGCACACATATTGCAACAAATAAGTATTCTAAAGTCAGTTTGTGGCTAAAAAGAAATGCAGACGTAGGAATGTCAGACTCCAGGTGGAACCCAGAATTACAGCTCATCTCCTGACTATGGACCCAGAAGTACAGCTCATCTCCAGACTATGGAGGTCTGTTCCTCTGGATGCTTTGGAGGGTGGACTCTGTCTGTTTCTCTGGATGCTTTGGAGGGTGGACTCTATGGCATTGTACCCCACTGAGGTCCCTGTCCTGCCCAGGCTCCACCCTCAAATCTGGCAACTCTACCTCCCCATCCGTCACCAGTGGTCAGGAGACACCTGGCAACCCTATGCAGAATTCTTCTAAATAAATGTGTGTCAGGTTGGTTAGTTGAAATGAAGTGTTGATTTAGCATGTTTGCTCACTCAGTTTGACCCAATGCTACACCTCTTGGGTATAAAACTCACAAGGCATTGTAGCAGAGAGAGAACTATTTGTTATGCAAAGAATAATGTTTAGTAGATTCCGGCTTTTCAATTATTATGGAAGTAGATTTACCATACTTTATACCTGTATAAATGAACACCACCTTGTTACTGATAAGTGGCATCTTCCTTAAGAGTTCCTCGTGTTTGTGTATGTGTTTTAATTGAATTATTTCATAATTTTAATTGCATTTTAATTGCATTAAAATATTTCAAATAAATAAATAAAGTAACCATTGGGCCAGAATATTCTGAGGATTCCGTTTGATTAAATAAAACCAGAAGCTTAATGGCATTTTCCTTTAGAGTCCCAAATTTAAACCGCATAGCTGTTTGGCTAGAATATTCTTAGGATGAAATTAAATTAAAATAGAAGTTGGGTTTTTTTAAGCCTATAAAATATGCATACATTCTGTGGAGACATAAATCTCTTAAGTTTTGAACTGTGTCTGCAACGTTGTTTCCTAAAGCTTACCAAAGCTGTTTGTCGCTGATGCAATAAACTGTATGGAACATAGCACAAAGTCACTTTACCTTCCTCTTTCTTCGAGTTCCAGTCTTATGCAATTGAGAAGGTATAAAGAGAAGTCTGCAGAATCACTGTAGTACTAACGACACACAAACAAAATGCTATATATTACTCTGAAATGCATAAACTATCCTACTCCATTTGTACTTTTCAGTAAGTTTTTCTATGCTCTTTATCTCATTAGTTTACTTACAGCACTCTCATATTAGTAAATGATCATCTTGTTCCTGGTAGGGATAGCTGGTTTCCCCACCCCCTACCTACAACAAACAGGCCTCCTGCTTCAAAGCTCCTTGTGATTTAATTTTACATCAATGCAAAAGGCCATTTCTGGGTTTGCATTTTATTATGAGTTCCACAAAGGATAGGATGTTTGCTCCATTAAGTGCACAGATTTCATTATTAGATTTTTCTTTTCCATCTTGCAAAACTAATTGTGAATTGGTCGTAGGATGGAAAAGAAAAATCCAACAGACTGCTGAACATAATTCTAAAATTATGGAGCATTTAAAAATGCTTATAAGTTGAGACATGTTATCCTTTCAAGGTTTATGGTTTTAGTTAAGATACTGGATCAATAAGAAATCAACAGTGTTGTTTATCTATTAAATCAACTAATCAAATTAATTTGTTATGTATCTATTAAATCAACTAATCAAATTAATTTCATTCAATTAATTTGATTCAAATTGAATAATTTGATTCAATAAATTAAGTATGTATACAGCACAATATGGGTGTGTGTGTACAATGTTCATGGAGTTGACCAGCTGCTACACTTGTGTATCTCACTAGTGTAGTACCCAGCAACAGTGGTGCCATGGCCAGACACCAGCACAGCAACACAGGGGACCTCCATGGGAACACCAGTGGTACAGCTCTCTGCACCAGGAGGAAGAAGTGGACCTGGGGATGTGGCAGGAGTTACTACGCTCCCTAAGCCACCCCATCCTAGAAACACCCCCACCCCAGAACTGCCAAAATGTTAAGCCAGCAAAAAGCACAACATAGCCCACAGGCACCCATGTGATAGCAATAGCTGTCCTGCCCGCAAGCCCCAGTGTAGTGTAGAATGCTAACTACAGCTGCAGCCAATCACAGCCCTCCCTAGTGGAGGTCAAACCCCATCTCCTACACCCAGTCTTAGCTTCCCCATGCACTGCATAAACCTGAGCCAGGATGCCTCATACCTCACACGACAGGGTGGGTAGCACAGGTCTCTAACATCTCTGACTCAGAGTACACAGTGTTTCAACCTGGTGGAGGGAAATGCACAGAGAGGGCACTGAGCACCACGGAGGGGACACTTATTGCTTACGCCTAAATGGGAGAACAAATCTATTTGCTGCATCACTGATATGTCTTGTTTCAGAACCCTTACAGGTACCCCATCTATGGAGATGGACACCCAAGGAGCAACCATGAACTGAAAGGTGAGCAGGGACTGGGATCCAGCAGGCTCAACCCAGTAGTCTGTACTCCCTCCTTTTCCACTGTTTTGTTTAGCTAAAAAATATAGGACAGGTCCAGAGGTACCTTAAGGACTGGTGACATGTAGGTCACCATGAGCTTTCATGCGTTGCAGCTCATCTCTTCGAATATGTGGTAGACAACTCCAACAGACTGACGCAGCCACCCCTCTGAAGTCCCCATCACCTTCCCACTCACTCACTCTGCTGGCTGTTGTGTGCGGCTCATATGGGAAATGGGCTGGGGTGGTCTGAAGTGAAATATGTCCACTCCAAAAAAAGGGGGGTGGTCTCATTGGTTGCGGGAATGATGGAGGGAGACAGACAAATCTCCCTGGGGAGGGAGTTCCAAAGTTTTGGTGCCACTATAGAGAAGGCCCTTTCTTGGGTTGTCACCTGTCTAGCCTCAGACGACAGGGGCACCCAAAGCAGGGCCTCCATGGTTCATATAGGAATAGGTGGTCCTTCAGGTATGCGTGACCCAAGCCATACCGGGCTTTAAAGGTCAATACCGGCATCTTGAAATTGGCCTGCCTGGAAGCAAACTGATAGCCAGTGTAGATGGAACAAGACTTGAGTGATATGACCTACTCCAGTCAACCTTCTGGCATTCTGTATCAACGATAGCTTCTGGACAGTCTTCAAGGGCAAACCCACATAGACAGAGCACACTGCAATAATCTAATCTAGATGTCACTGGGGCATGCACCACATGGCAAGATCTGCAGGAAGGGCTGCAGCTGGCTCACCAAGCGAAGCAGGTGAAAAGCACCCTGGCCACCGCTGCCACCTGTTTATCCAACAGGAGGATCAGGTCCAGGAACACCCCCCAAGCTATGAACCTGCTTCTTTAGGGGGAGTGCAACCCCGTCCAGAAAGAAGATATGCCAGTTCCTGGGTCAAACCTCTTCCCCACCAGTAGCACCTGTGTGTTCTCAGGTTTAAGTATCAGTTTGTAGCCCTCATCCCTCCCCTAACTGCCTCCAAGCATCCATTCAGGGTTTCCATTGTTTCCCTGGGATCTGCTGGGTGTGAAACAGAGCTGAGCGTTACCCGCATATTTGTGGGTAACTCAGCCCAAATCTCAGCCCAAACTTGAATATGAATCATATGTCTAATACCCATGATGGCTCCACCATGAAGATCAAAAAACCTGCAAGGGGGAGCAGCAGCACAGGGATAAGCAAGACATTTGTACAAACTGGCCGAAATATCTGAAAACAGAAAAGGGGGGGGGACCTTACAAAAAGGCTAAGGGGTGGGCAGTGATATTTCTTTGGGCTCCCAAATACCTCTGTTTTGTCTGAAACAGGAGGTAAGGGGGTGGAGTCAGAGAGAACATTTGGAACCACAATGAGAAGATGCAAGGAGAAGGCATGGGGATTTTTAGGGGAATGGAATTCTACAATGCAGGCACTAGTATAGGCTGCAAACTTACTCTGGAGAAAATCCCATATAACACAAGAAGATATTCTCCTAAATGTATATGCATAAGTTTTTCCAGTTTAATTCAGCCACAGCGAATCTTGCGTATGTTAGTTTCTAAGGTGCCATGGTGGGTGACAGAGGCAGGCAATGGCAAACTGTCTCTTGTCTGGAAAAACTCTAAGGAGTTGCCACCATAAGTCACCTGTGGCTTCAGCACTTTCCACCTCTCTGCCTATTTCTAGAACACAGTTTAGATATGTGCTAGATGCAATAAAACCAGAGAGCTGTGGGACCTTAAAGACTAACCAATGTACACTTGATTAATTTTTTAAAATTTATTTAATTGTTACACTTATATCCCACCCTCCCCGCAAGCGGGCTCAGGGCGGCTTACAAATAAGGGCAACATGTGCCACATAAAACATTAAAAACAGAATGAAATCGACCATAGTTAACAATGATAAAGTGCTCAAAGATGTTACCAATTTAATCAGATCAATCAACTCAGATGGTGACCTATAGGTAGAGGGGAGATGAAGTGAGCTCAGAATAGTTTATGCTGGAATACATTTTACCAGTCTTCAGATTGCTGTTGGCTTCCTGTTTTATTCTGAACACTGCGGTAAGTGCTTGTCTCTTCCAACTCTTGCATCAAACCCCTACTACCCTGAGCGAACTTCTACCTTTTGCCACAGGAGCCGATCTATGACCCAGTAAGGCCCAGAAGTGATGAGATCATAGGAACCAAGTCCCTATATTAAACCAGCAACACAAACTCCTCGCCTGGCAACCGCCTTTCAAGACAGGAGCGAAGCAAAAAAAAAAAAAAAAAAAAACCCCAACCAAGAAAAGGTGATTGGCAAGACCCTCCACCAATAGGCTGCGCTCGCTGTCATCGGCACTGGAGCTGGCCGCGGGGAGTGTAACCAAGTCTGTGAAGTGCCCGAGGGGGGTAATGCTGAGAAGCCGGCCGTCCCTGCCCTCGTGATCGCCGCTGCACACTCGCCCGTCTGCTCTCCGAGGATGACGAGGGCGCTCCGGGGCTGCCTGCTCACCTGCTGGGTGCCTTTCCTCGCCGCTCTATGCTCCTGCGCCGTGCGCCGGGCTGCCTCAGGTAACACCTGCCCCGCGCCCGCACCGAAACGGGACTCTCGCCTCCTGTTACCGAAGGGTGGGGGGAGTGGAAGGGACCCGAGTGAGTTTTTCGGCGGGATAGGAGGCCATTCCGCTTCTGGGGTTGTGAATTCCCTGGGTATGGATGGGCAGGAGGGGATTGTCGCGCGCAAAGGAGTCCGGGGGCATTAGCTGCAAGTCACTCCTTCCCGAGGAGGCGCGCGGCGCAAAGCCGATTCCAGAAAAGCGTTTGGGGTGTGTACGGCGGGAGGGGGAGAGAACAACGCCGGAAAGTGAAAGTGCGCATTCCCCCTGTATGCGAAACTGAAACGGCGCCGTGTTCCCCTCCGAGGGTGGCTGAAGTGTCCCTGGGGGTTTCGTGGCGGAAAACCGGGGAGGGGGGGGTTCCTCCATGGGGTTAAACAGACATTCCGCTCCCATGCGCGCGCCTCCCTTCTCCTAGAGCCGAGCTGGAAACGCGATTTAGCAGGTTCTAGAGCCGGAACTTGGCTTGGGAAGCTGGGGCGCCAGCCCTGATACCCGGGAGGCAATAAAGAACTGGGAAGGGAATGCATTAGGCACGTGCAGAGCGCCATTGCAAGGGGGGGTGGAGTAGCAGCCGCAAGTGTTGAAGGCGCGGCAACGAAATGGCCCTGTGAAAAGAAGCCGCGGCCCGGGGCAAAGGTGCTGGGGAACGATCCCCCCCGTAGGGAAGGAGGCGCGTGTTCCCCTTGCAGGTCCTGGTGAAGCGCCTTCCCCACACACACACACACCCACTTCTGGTCTCTAAGAAACCAGCTTCCCGCCGCCCACTCCGCTTGTTTATCTGTCAGGCGGCAGCCTCTGGAGCAGCAGCAGCAGGAGCTTCCCCGCAAGCGCCGAAGCAGAAGCCTGGAGTGCCAGGCTGAAAAAAGAAAGGCGGGGGAATTCCACAAACCGGTTGTGGCCACTGGGACTGTCCAGGAAGCCGGAGAGGGAAAATAGGCAGGTCGATCGCTTGGTTCTCATCGAGGCCTGCCAGAAGTGTACCAGCACTCCTGAAGTAACATTGACTCTTCCTCCGGTTGCGGTTCGAGAAAAAAAGAAAGCTGCCCAGTTGGGCAGAAGCTCAGGCGTCGTTTTTTGCTCCTCTGGTTGCCTTTCCCCGCTGCAAATAGCTGCTGAGCCTGTTTGATTTCAGCCTGAGGCCGAATTTGGTAGGCTTCATTGAAGGGTGTTCAGGGCTGACCTGTGCTGCTCCAGGTATTGGAGGCTCGGCTCATAAGATCCCAAGCAGATAGCAAAAGAGAGGGAGGGTCAAGCAATACTCCTGTATAAATTGGGACCTGACATTTCCTTTGAGTGCCACTCTCCCCCTGTGGGGCTGCAGCAGAGACTCATGAGAGAAGGTGTTCCCTGGTTATGTCCAAGAAGAATGGAAAGGCAGTTGTTGAACTTCGAAAGTAGTAAGCCAGAGGGCAAGCATCTGGCTTTGTCTGAGTGTATAGCCAATTTTGGCAGTGCATGGACAGCAGGTCTAATCCAGAGAGTGTGTTTGTTTTTTTCCAGGTTCATTCAGGCATAGTTAGAGTCCAGTGGTACTGTAAAGGCTAACAGAATTTATCCTAATTTTTTTGTTGAGTGAACTTCTGATGAAGTGAGCTCTGCCTCATGGAAGTTTATGCCGGGATCTGTCCTTTGAATCTCTACGGTGCCACCAGCTGACACTGCTTCCCATGTGGAATTATTCATGCATATGGCAGTTGTGCTGTTTGACCTGATGTCTGCTGGGCTGCAGAGCAGATCAGGGAAATGTCAGTCGGTGGCCTGTATGAAAGAAGGTTCTGTGCTGCAAGATACTGGGTGCCATTTTCTGCGCTGTTGGATTAGTACTGAAGCACTGAATCTGTAGAGCATACTAGCTACTTCACACACATGCCCTCGGCTTATTTTCTTTCTATTCTTTTGTTGTTCGTTTGTTAAGTTCTTATCCACATTTCATGCTGTGTAATCTAGAACTTGATTGATTTTATTCTTTATAGATTTAATGCCAGGTTTATAGTAGTAAATAATGTGCTACGCTGACCTGGATGGTCCAGGCTAGCCTCATCTTGTCAGATCTTGGAAGCTAAGCAAGGTCAGCCCTGGTTAGTACATGGATCGGAGACCACCAGGGAAGTCCAGAGGCAGGCAATGAATGGGAAGCCACCTCTTTTTGTCTCTTGCCTTGAAAACCCTATAGGTTTGCCATAAGTTGGCTGCATCTTGACCAGGGTGGATTTGATTTAAATCATTAGTCAGTAAGACTTGATTTAAATCATGGTTTCCTACATAAAGGCTCATTCTTGTTGGCCTTAGTATTTACAACCCAGGTGAAGGTTTCATTTTAGTATAATAACTTTTCAGGTTAGTTTTCCTTATATCAGAAAATTAATGAATGGTTATTAACCACTTGAAATAAATTAAGAAATCATTGCAAGGTGAACTTTCTCTGGTTTAATAGGTTAGTCGTTCATATTTGGACATCTTTTCTGCTGTACTGTACTGGAAGGGGGAAAATAATCAATACCAATAACCATTTAAATTGTTTTATTTAACTAAAACAATAACTTTATGTACCATATGTATTCTTGCATTTGCTTAAACATCCATGAGGATACACTCAGAAAAATCTCAAGATTTCTGGAGTATTCTGCTCAAAGAAGTTTCACTTTCATTTGTACTACTTGCCCCTCCCTCCTCAGCGTAGCTCTTAACATTTCCTTCTTAATCAGACCTGTTCCACAATAAACAATCTTATATCCATTGAACTGTTCGAAAGTTAACGTAGCACTTAAGAGATAAGGGGTTGATTTTGTGTGCATAGATTTGCAAAGGACCAATAGGACTGAGGTCTCTTCACTCTGTATGTTTATTTTACAACATTTTTGCTGTAAAGAAGAGGCATGTGATCTCTGCACAGTTTTGAGAACTGTAAACCAAGCATCTGTGATAATATCTTCTAGATAGAAAAATTGCCCAATAATCTTACAGAAACTTCTGGAACAGCATGACATTGTGGATGGATTAATGGCATTCATCTACCCCCCAAAAAATTGCTTGAATATACAGCCTCATGCTGCATAATTAAAAACTAAAATTTATTTCATGATGAATAACCTTTGGACTATAATGTATCTTAAATAGAAAACTATAGATAGATTTGTCCTCAAAAAGCATTTTATTTAAAAAATTGAATTTAAATTTTAAAATTCTGATTTTGTTTTTATTTTAAAAAACATTGTCCATCCTGATCTTGACAGCACTTTCCACCATCAAATAATGTGGCTGCAAAAATTCAGATCCAGAAGTGCTTGTGCAAAACTTGCCAAGCCAGGCATTAAACTGGAGTATGCTCCTAGTCCCAGAGCCACACTCATACCATCTGGTAGCAAGTCACTTGAATTTACAACAAGTCCCTCCCCATGATGAAATATGAGGCAACCTTTGCAACTTCTGGGACACTTTCCTCTATTCAAGGAGGTGGTGAATAACTTGCAGGACTGTAAGAAGCTCTGTATCACGGCCTGCTGTCAGTCCATAGGCCTTATAGCCAGGCCTGTAGCTACTGTGGGGCCCACAGGGCCTGGCCCCCTAGCGGTTTTTATAGGCCCGTCCCTGAGCCATGGCTCCCCCCCCCCGGCAACTTCACCCTGATTGCCTGTCGGCAAGGAAAACAAGGGTGGTACAAGGCTAGGCTGAGAGAGCAGCCGGGGCAGGCAGTGAGTGTGAATGGTGTGGGGCAAAGCCTCCATCTCGGTTTTCCACCAGATGCTCGCTACCCCACCTGCCAGCAGCAGGTAAGCCCAGCCAAGCAAGGCAAGGAGGCAGGCAGCTGCCTCCTCTGGCCCTGGCCAGGCGCACCCAGCTGTGCTCCGGTATGCCAATGAGCCCGCACAGCACCTTTGTGGCCAGCCTGGGAGCCGGGCACTCTGCAAGGAAGGCCTGCCCTTGCCGAGGGTGGGGAGGGAAGCTGCAGCCACTGGGGATTACCCCCCTTGCCCTGGAGCCTGGGGTGTGTGTGCAGGGATGCCTTAGGGGTTTAAGGAGTTCCACCAATTAAACCAAAGTTAATTTTATTAACTTTGATATAATTGGCTGGTGGCCCCTGGCAGAGGCCCCCTCCCAAAAAAATCCCTAGGTACAGGGCTGCTTATAGCAAAAGGTTGTTTACATTTTCTGCTGTGTTTCAGTTGTGGGCTCCAGGTGTGTTAGGTATAACCACATCCTGCTCAGGGGGAAAGGATGCTTTCTAGCTGAAATTGCCTTTGAACATGTGGTGTGGTAGAAAGGGAGGGGGGATGGCTAGAGAGAAAAGGGACAAGGAAGAAAAAATGTTGAAAGCTAGTGAATATGTACTCCCAAATAACTCCTACAGAGAGACGTTATGATGCTGTATCTCTGCATACGTAAGTACAAATCAAGGGTGTGAAGTTCTGCCCTGCAGATCTCACATGCAGATACAACTGTTTGCCGAACATGTTCTTATGTGTTTGCCAGACATGTTCTCTGTCTGTATGACATATCCTAACAAGGGTCCTGTCACTGTGTATTTCCCAGTGAATTTTGGCTGAAGTTCCCCTTGGTTGCAAAAATAGATAGCAGAAGTATGCTAATAAGATATTCTGTCTGTCCTCTTTTCTTTACCTGTGCTGCTGCCAGTGGCCCCAGCTTTGGTCTCCAAGCATACCAGATATAAGTGCCTTTTCTGACTCAGGGCAGACTGTGTCGATACAGTCACATCCAGGGAGCAGCTGGAGTGTTGGTATGGCTTAGTGGTAGAACCTTTGTTTTTCTTATAGATGTCTTTAAGAGGAGGTTAGACAGACTCATGAAGGATAGGTCCAACAGTGGCTGTTAGCCATGACAATTCAAGGGAACCTTGAGAGTGAGAGAGTAAACCTCTGAATACCAGTGCTAGGAGGCAACATCAGGCCTTGGACTCTGTGACCTGTTTGTTGGCCCTACTGGTTGGCTGCTCTG